TCAAAAGCGCAAAATTTTCTTGGTAAGCGAGACCACTGTCACGTCATGAGTATCAAAATATGAAAGAAATTTCATGAAGGTGCAAAAATATGCAAATATAACTGGCGCATGGAAGTCCGAAAACATGCACTACTTCGATTTACTTAAAAGGCAGCGAAATCAGGCAAATCTGTTTCCCAAATCCTAGAATATCACACCAAAGAATGTTCAAGAAAACAGGAAGAAAGCCCTTTTGGACAAAAAAGTGCACACTGATTCTACAGATGACCATGATAAGATTGTTGCAGATGGTGACAGCAAAGAGATGAAAGAACAGAGTACAAATATGATCGGTTTACGCTGAGAGTTGGTAAAAATCGAACCACGGTGAGAAAAGCTAACCTGTGTTCAGCAGCAGGTATTGAAAAGCCAGCCATTTTCGCTGAATAATACCTGAAATTCGAAATCATCGGCAATCACAGATTTCAAATAAAAAAAAAGCAACGAAATCAAGTATAAAATTTAAAACTTGCTTTCTACACAACTGCAAGCCCGCAATCGTATCGGTGCCATAGAAATTCACCAAATGCGCTGCTCCACCTATCGAGGCACTCTGAAACATTGAAGCAGCACATAGTAAAAGGGATGAAAACTGATGCGCACGTTATTACAACTAACACATAACAATATTCCACAGCAATTTCTCATCGGCAAAATTGCCTGTAACGATTGTAGCTTGTGCATACGATATTAGCCCGGAGTGGAACAAGCATCTGGTCAAGAAACTTTATAAAGCCACAAACCTCGACAGATGACACGCCACGATATCCAAAATCATGCAATTTAAAGTGAATCCCATCAATTGAGTCGGCTGTCTCATGCAAGTACCGAGCAATGACGAGTTTCTGCGCCCTTGAGCTGGTGCATACTGTCATTGGGTACCAAACTTGAACCAGTAAAGTCTACAATAAGGAATCACTACGGCAGCTCACTGACAAAGCTGGAGATAAGGGATCAATAAAAATATCATTTGTAATAAAAGGATGCAGTCTGTATTTCATCCCTTAGCTGAAAGCAACGGCCGAATGCAGCATGCGGGTAGGAATGGGAATGATCAGTACAGCAGCAGTGTACATGAAAAGAATGTGCAAAAACGCATGAAACTAAAGCAGTGAGGAAACGAAGAAACAGACAGGAAAACGATGCGCAAACAGAGAAGGCTAAAGAGAAGGACCTATTTTTAAGCACGAAACTATGCCATGAG